TATATCCATTACACTGAATAATTACATGTTCTACAGTTTCTCTAACTCCACACCAATCACACAGTCCTGTTGGATGTTTCCCTATTATGTGCAATGTTGAATTCAGCCCTGTATGTCCCAACCTTAGTCTTGAAAGAAAACAATCTTCCTTTCTTCTCCCTCTTGAATTCCTTCCTCTACCTACCATTGGTTGTACTGAATGTAGAACTCTTTATCCCAAAACAATTGCTAATTTGTATTTATTCCCTTTTTAATTATTGACTTAAGTTCACCTTTACTATACAGAATTTGCATATCTATATTTTCCTTTGTCATTACTTGTTTAGCTAATTGGTCTGCTTCCTCATTCCCTGCCACTCTAGAAGATGAATCCCTTGTATGACACGAAAAAGTATTTGGGCACGTAAACCAAATACTAAAAATATCAAGTGGCATTTATTTGAAAGAAAAATAACACAAACAATAGGCAAATCATAAAAATAATTAACTAGGGTATCTATTATAGAAATTATTTTGCAACATGAGATAAACTGTCCAGATTAAGTAAACAAATGGAGAACTGACTTTATACATCCACTAAAAATTAATGTGATCAAAGTAATTGAAAATGTTAAAAAATAATTGAAAAATGAAGAAGAATCAGAATAAAGGTCTTGCATCATTTGTTTGACGTAACTTTTATTATTATTTATGCATTTTAATGTGTGAGGGTTGTAAGAGAAAAAAATGAAAATAAATCAAACAAATACTTAAATGTGTGAAACAACTGACACATCCATTGATCCATCCTTTTTCCAAATCACTTGTTTTATGTGCTGTAGGGTCATGGGGATGCTGAAGCCTATCCCAACATACAACTGACACAAATAAGTTCAAATAACCTTGATAATTAATGACTTTATTTAAACATATAAGAAAAAGCAACTGACAAATCACTGTTCAGGGAAATATTTTCACAGGACAATCAGAGGTCAAAGAAAGAAAGTAATTCTTTTTGCATTTCAACATTGATGAAATGTGAAGCTACCTGAACTGCTCTGCTAACAGAATGGAGTGTATAATAAACAACAAACCCATATCATTATACATTCACAAACATTTGCTACTTAAAAGATATTACAATAATGCTAAAAAGGTTGCAGTTACAAAATACATTGCTGTGAGATTCAAATAAGACTTAATAAAATTCAAAGAAAGAATTTTCTTGGCAATAAAAACAAGGGCAGTTGTGGCAGATACTCTATAATTTGGGAAAATGCAATCACAAAACGTGTCACAAATTCACATTTGAAAGGTACATGGTATGTAACAGAAGCACGTACACTCTTAAAAATAAAGGTGCTTAAAAGGTTCTTCACAGCGATGCCATAGAAGAACAATGTTTGGTTCCACAAAGAACCATTCAGTCAAAGGTTCTTTAAAGAACCATCTCTTTCTTACCTTTTTATAATCTGAAGAACCTTCTTTCGCCTATTGTCAAACAGAAAGGTTCTTCAGATGTTAAAGGTTCTTTATGGAACCATTTAGACAAAAAGGTTCTTCTATGGCATCGTGAAGCACCTTTATTTTTAAGAGTGTAATGCACATTGGAAAAATGTTTCACACGAACACCTATGCTGTGTGAGCACCTGTGTACTCTAAAAATAAGAAACAAATGAGATCAATTTAGCATCCAATCCAGGACCAAACTGAATGCAGTGGAGTGGACTGTTGCATGTTTCATTTAACTGAATATAAAAATAGTGCTATACATTAAAAACTACCTCTGTAATGTATTTGCAATGCATAATATAGAAGAAAAATGAAAAAAGGGTCTAAACTAAAAATATAGTTAGACATTTATCAACTAAATGTTACACTGAGCATGCATATTTCAGTAAATCCTAATTTCAAGAAACGGCTATTTTATAAAATCCCAAATATTTCAGAAAAAATACAAAATATAGTTGTTGAAAATAGTTTGCATTATTTTGCATATGAAAATGTAATCGAAAATTTCACATTATGTATATAATTGGCTGGTCCCTTAAGCAATACATAGGAGGCTTGTACTAACACAAGAGCCACAAATCACTAATCTGCTAAACAATTCTTGCCCTAACATGGTGTTTTGATCTGCGTGCTGATGTTGAGTCAGTAATGGCTTTTCTTTTCCTCTGATGTCTCTGTTTCGCTTTTTGTTCTACTTCTGATTCAGAATCTGATTCATCATCCTTCTTTTTGGATTCGTGCATTTGTAGCCTCATTGATTTTCGTCTGGTTGAAGCAGTAGTTGAGCTACTCTGAACAACATGCTTTCCAATGGCAAGACCTTTCTCATCGTCATCAGAGATATTTTCTTCACCTTTCTCATATTTTTCTGCAGATGGGGATATCTCTTTTGGAGCCTCCATCACCATGCTCTGCTCATCTGCTTTGTTTTCTTCTTGATCAGAAGTTTCCTCTACCTCCAACGCTAAAGTGATGCCCTCATTTGTACTGGACTCAAGATCTACATGTTGCTCTATCACTTCCTCTATTATTTCATCTGTCATAACCTCTTCTTTATCCTCATCAGTCTGGGTTTTATTTAATCTGCTCTGTTTTTGCTCCTCTTGAGATTCACCTGCACCTGGCTCTGTGTCTTTATGTACATTGCATTCTCCATCTGATTTAGTCCCTTGTGCATTTTTCTGTATTTTTTGTAGTGTTTCTTCACCCAAAAGACTTCCCTCAAAAACTGCTGCAGTTGCATCTGACCTCAGTTCTACACTGTCTTCTGTAAATGTCACTTCTACTGAGTCAGTTTGTCCCATAACTGCCTCCTTGACTTGCTCACTATCGTCATCATGCTCTTGTTTACGAAGACGTTTAGATTTCCTTGGAGCAGCTGTTTCTACAGTCATTCTTTTTCTCAGGGATCTCATTTCCACTGCTTTTCCCTCCAAATCAGCAGATCTTCCTTGCACACCTTCTGCGGCTCCCGCATTTTCTCTTTCTTGGAGTGGTTTTGCTTCCTTCTGTACACTGGAAACCTCTTCCTCCTCCTGTTCATTAAGCATCGGCATATCTTCTCTCTCAAAATTTTCTTCTTGAGCTTTGTTCTGTTCAGTGTTTACCTGGCTGCCACTGTTACTTTCCATGATTTCAAACAGAATTTCGTTTCCTTTCTCCTTAGTATCATCTTTTGTCTCTGAGTTTTCTGACTTTCCATCTGTATTTGTCTCAATTACGCCCTCTCCCTCTTTTGTCTCCAAATTTTCGAATTCAGCAGTGCTGTCCTCAGCAAGTAATGCCTCATTCTCCTTCCCTGTAGGGACATTTAAATGATCAGTTTCTCTTTCTGACTCCAGCTCTTGTCTGTGGAGGTGTTTTGATTTACTTCTTGGTGTAGATTGGACTGTTACTGTTCGGTATCTGAGACTTCTTGTAATGAAAGCTGCTTCTTGCTCTGAGTTTTCTAAAACAACCTTCTCCTCCACAGCTGTTGTCTTAAATTCATTTGTCAGATCGGTTTCCCCCACATTTTCACCCAGTGACACTACTTCTTCTTGTTCCTGCTCTGTGTTTTCCAGTGAAGGCTCTGCTTTTTCTTCTTCCTGAACTCCCCCCTCTACATCTTTTTGCGTTTTATCCATTTCCAGCAGAATTTCATTTTCAGTTATTTTAATTAAGGTCATAGTCTCCTCTTCTTCAACATCTGTAGATATTTCAGGCAAAGCTTCATCCACCCTTCCCTTATCATTTGATATGCCTATGTCTTGCTCATCTGAAGTAGTTTCCTCCCTTTTACTCACATCTCTATCTTCATCAAGATTTTCCACATTGGTCTCAATGGTGACTGGTACACAGACATTTACCGTCTTTGCTGTCATTGAAGAAGTTTCTTCATTTCTACTCATCTTTGCTTCTTTTACTGGTTCCAACTCTGCTTTGTTGAGACGTGCAGATTTTCTGGTCTTCTGTGTAGATGTGACGGATTGTGAACTGATCCTTAAACTTCTCCTTGTGGTCCTTTCACTTTTATTTTCATTAGTTTCAGAGCTTTCCACCTGCAAGATCTCTTCCTCTGTTTGAATGGGTGTCTCCTCTAAAATGTATGTTTTCTCCTTGTTAACCACCGAAACTTCATCCATCCCCATGGGTTTTTCTGTTTCAGCTGTTTCTTTCTCATTTTCAACAGATAGCTCATTTTCCTGTTGCTCTAAATTGACTTTGTCTCTTTCCATCTCACGGGTTGCCTCATTCCCTAAATTTGTTTCCTTGTTCTCCATGTTGTTAATTTCTTCAAATCCTTTTTCTATTACATTCTCATCAGGTTCTCCTTCTATAAGTGAGACAATGTTCTCAGTAGCTTCTACAGTTGTTTTTTGAAGTGTTTCCTCTTGATCTATTTCTGTTCCTTCTTTATGCACTTCTTCATCTCCTTTTCCTGTTAGTTGGACTGTTACAGTTTTATCTTCAAAAACTTCAGCCTCTTGTCTTTGTGCTCGTCTAGATTTCTTTATTGGTGAAGACTGAATTTTTACTGTTCTACGCCTGAGACTTCTCTCTGTGTTGACTGATGCCTCCTCTTCTAAGACTTCCTGAACAGTTTCTGGTGCCTCCTGAGCAAGACTTCTCATCTCTAGATCACTATCCATTTGTTTCTCTTTTAAAGAAATATCTTGATTATTTTCTGTCTCCTGAATTATATTTGTTTTGTCTTCGATTGTTGTTGCTTTTGGATGTTCTCCAGATGTTACACTTTCTTCCACATCTTCACCTATGACCATCTTATATTCCTCTACAATCTGTCCTAACAAATCGTCTGTTGGTTTTTGCCCCTCAACTGTCATGTCTTGTTTGTCCTCTTCTGATATCAGGTTACATAGTTGATATTCACTTTTATCTGGTTCATACATTTCCAGTTGTTCCTCTGTGTGAAAAGGAGTCAGGACTTCTGGAGTGTCAGTCTGTTGTTCTGTATTTTGAGAAAGTTTGTTTAAATCTACAAGTAATAGTGTGTCTGTTTGTAGTATTACTGGAGTACCATCATCTTTCTCTACCTCCTCATCAGGTTCTGTTTCTTTAGGTGGGACCTCTTCTACAATCTGAGAGGGCTCCTCTTTATCATTTATTTCTTCACCCATCAGCAGTTCAGAAGTCTCAGGTTCAACAGCTGTAGTTTCTTCAACATTTGTATTTGCTATTTCATCAAGACTTTCCAAGTTGCTCTCTACTGTAATTATTGGCACACACACATTCACAGTCTCTTCCGTTGTTGCTGAGGTTTCTTCATGTTCATTTCTACTCATATTTGTCTCTTTCACTGGGTCCAACTCTACTTTGTGGAGACGTGTAGATGTTCTTGTCTTCTGTGTAGCTGTGACTGATTTCGCACTGATCCTGAGACTTCTCCTTGTGATCCTTTCATTGTCACTTTGATCGGTTTCTGTGCTTTCCCCCTGTGAGAATTTCTCCTCTATTTGAATGGTGGTGCCCCCTACAACGTATGTATGCTCCTTGCTAACCACAGGGTCAATCTGCAGTTGTATTACTGGAGTACCATCATCTTTTTCTACCTCCTCATCAAGTTCTGCTTCTGCAAGTGAGACCCGTGAGACCTCCTTCTCTATTTGGATGGTGGTCCCCCCTACAATGAATATTTGCTCTTTGCCAACTACTGGGCCAATCTCCATGGATTTTTCTGTCTCCGTTGTTTCTTTGTCATTTTTAACCAATGGCTCATTTTGTTGTTGCTCTAAATTGACTTCTTCTCCCACCTCAGATGTCTCCTTATCTGTGTCTCTTGTCACAGCTAAATTTGTTTCCTTGTTCTCCATCTTGTTGATTTCTTCAACTCCTTTTTCTGCTATATTATCTTCAGGTTCTGCTTCTACAAATGGGATGACCTCAGTAGCCTCTACAGTTGATTTCTTAAGTGTTTCCTGCATTTCATCAACTACCTTTCCTCTTATTGGGATGTTTCTAGTTTTATCTTCAAAAGCTTCAGCCCCTTGTTTTTGTATACGTCTCGATTTTCTTCTTGGTGGAGACTGAATTTGTATTGTTCTACGCCTGAGACTTCTCTCTGTGCTGACTGATGCCTCCTCTTCTAAGACTTCCTGGTCAGTTTCTGGTGCCTCCTGAGCAAGAACACTAATTTCTATGTCACTGTCTGTTGGCTTTTCTTTTAAAGTAATATTTTGATCTTTTACTGCCTCATGAATTATATTTGTTTCATCTGCCATTGTTGTTGTTTTTTCAGGATGCTGTCCAGAATGTACTGCTTCTTCTACATCCTCATCTACAGCACTATAAACTTCTACGATCTCTGTTACTTTTAAGTCATTTTGTTCTTCCAAATCTTCTGTTGGTTTTTGCTCCTCAAATGTCATGTCTTGTTTATTGGGTTCATTCTGTTCTTCAACTGTGTTATCATCCTCCATTTTGTCTTTCTCAGGGGTCTTTTCAGTATCTTCCTCTTTTTGTAGTTGTTCTAGCTGTTCTTCCTCTTCTGATGTCAGATTACATAGTTGATATTCACTATTATGTGGTTTATCCTGTTCCAGTTTTTCCTCTGTCTGGGAATGTGTCAGGACTTCTGGAGTGTCACTCTCTCCTTCTGTATTTTGGGAAAGTTTGTTTAAATCTACAAGTACTACTGTGGCTTTCTGCAGTTGTATTACTGGAGTACCATCATCTTTTTCTACCTCCTCATCAGGTTCTGCTTCTACAAGTGAGACACGTGAGACCTCCTTCTCTATTTGGATGGGGGTCCCCCCTACAATGTATGTTTGCTCTTTGCCAACCACTGGGGCAAACTCCATGGATGTCTCAGCTGTTTCTTTATCATTTTTAACCAATGGCTCATTTTGCTGTTGCTCTAAAGTGGCTTCTTCTCCCACCTCAGATGTCTCCTCACCTGTGTCTCGTGTCACAGCTAAATTTGCTTCTTTGTTCTCCAACTTGTTGATTTCTTCAACTCCTTGTTCTACGACATTATCTTCAGGTTCTGCTTCTACGAGTGGGATCACCGTCTCAGTAGCATCTACAATTGATGTTTGAGGCGCTTTCTCTTGATCAACTATTTCTACACCTTGGTCCACCTCATCAGCTTCCTTTTCTGTTATTAGGACTATTTCAGTTTTATCTTCAGAAACGTCAGCCCCTTGTTTTTGTATACGTCTAGATTTTCTTCTTGGTGGAGACTGAACTCTTTTTGTTCTCCGTCTAAGACTTCGCTGTGTGCTGACTGGTGCCTCCTCTTCTAAGTTTTCTTGAACAGCATTCTCCTGGGCAAGACCGCTCACCCCTTCATCCTCATTCTGTTTATTTTCAATTTTATTGCTTTCCACCGGGCTGCCCTCAGCTGGCATTGTGGCCAAATCTTCAGTTGGCTTTTGCTCTTCAAATGTCATGACTTGTTTATCGAGTTTGTTCTGCTCTTCAACTGTGTTTTCCTCCTCCATTTTCTCTTCCTCAGGGGTCTTTTCAGTGTCTTCCTGTGTTTGTACTTCTTCTTGTTGTTCCTCCTCTTCTAATGCCAGATTAGACAGTTCTTGTTCACTTGTATCTGGTTCATACAGGTCCAGTTTTTCCTCCGTTTGGAAATGTGTCACCCTCCCTGAAGCCTCACCCTCTCCTTCTGTATTTTGGGAAAGTTTGCTCAAATCCACAAGTACTACTGTGGCTTTTTGTAATTTTATTGCTGGAGTACCATCATCATTCTCTACCTCCTTACCAGGTTCTACAAATGAGACCTTTTCTTCAGGACCATCAACAATCTGAATTTTTTTCTCCTGATCATCTATTTCTACACTCAAAGGTAGTCCGGAACTCTCTGGGACTGCAGTTTCCTCAGTATTTGTGTTTACTATTTCATCAAGACTTTCCAAACTGGCCTCAGTTGTAATAATTGGTATACAGCCATCCACAGTCTCTTCTGTTATTGCTGATGTTTTTTCATATCCATTTCTACTCATGTTTGGTTCTTCCACTGGCTCCAACTCAGCGAAATGTTCTTCTTTGTTCTCCATCTTGTTGACATCTTGACCCATTTCATCCTCTCTCTCTTTTGTCATCAAGATTGTATCAGTTTTATTCATGCTCACCACAGTGTGTCTTTCCTGATGTTCAGCATCTGCTTCAGCTTTTTGTTTCTGTACACATCTAGATTTCCTTGTCAGTGGAGTCTGAACTCTTATTGTTCTACGTCTGAGATGTCTTTCTGTGCTGATTGGCACCTCTTCTTCCTGGACATGTACCTCCTGAGCAAGACTGCTCATCTCTATGTCACTGTACAATCGTCCAGCTAAATTTGCTTCCTTGTTCTCAATATTTTTGATGTCTTCAACTCTGCTTTCTAATACATCCTCCTTAGCTTCTGTTTCTATAAGTGGGATTTCCTCAGTAACCTTTGTAATCTGAGGTTCTTTCTCTTTATAATCTATTTCTGCAGCTCTAAGGAGTTCAGAACTTCCACATTCAACACTTGCAGTTTCATCAGCATTTGTGTTTGCCATTTCATTCTCCTCTGGACTTACATCTTCCACAATAAGTTCATCCCTCTCAGGGTTTTCATCAGTCCTGAGTTTTGCATCAACTTGAGGCTCAACACGTTCCACCTGTTGAATCACTGCTTTGCTATGTGTAGATCTCCTAACAGGGGTGATCTTGACTGGTTTCAAAGTGCTCCTAAGACATCTAACTGTCACCCCAGGGTCAACAGGCTGATCTTTAAGTCTTGTGGATCTACTTGGGATATCGGTAGAGCCTTTCTTTTGAATTTGTTTGCCTTGTTTGGGAAACTTGTCTGCCTCATACAAATCTTGCTTATCCTCTTTATCTTGTTCAGTGTCTGTTTTCTCTGGTTCCTCAACTTGGCTTAGAAGAACAGCCTCTGTGGTTTCTGATTCTGACGCATACTCTTGATCTTTGTATGCAGTTGATTGTTCTGGAGTTCTGTTGGCATCAGCTGCTACAACATATCCTTCTGTTGTAGTAGTACAGGCTGGTTCTTCCATGGGTTTGGTGTGTAATGTCGCATCTTGTTCTTCTTTTCTCATATTTTCTTCAGTTGCTTGTAGCTCAGATGACATAGTGAGTTTCATTTCCTCTTGTTCAGGAATACCGATTTCTCCATGATTATCACCTGCCTCCTTAGGAGAACATTCATGCAGATCTACAAGCACAACTTTGGCTTCACTCAATGTCAACATCACAGTGCTGTTCTCCACTGTCTCCTCATCCTCTTCAGGTGTTGTTTTTGATTCCTGTATCTCAGGAGGCTCTACAGACGACTGTAGTGGTGCTTCTTCTTGATCTGTTTCTTTTCTTTCCACTAATTCAGAAACTTCAGGAAATACAGTTTCCTCAACCTGCGTAATTTCAACGTCCATAGTAGATACAGTTTCCACTGTAAGCATGTCTTTTTCTTTGTATTCCTCAACCTCAGACTCTGCCTCTGCCTTATTTTCAATCTGAGCTTCTTGTATCTTTTCCATAACCTCAGAAACGTCATGTTCAGGTTCATCTGTTGATTGTTCAATATCTTCATATTGCATCATTACTTTGCTGTGATGTTTGGATCTCTGTTGGCCTGTTTTCACAGACTTTGTAGTTGCAAGATCTTTTTCAGCAGGCTGATGACTGAGTCTTTTGGACTTCCTTGAAGGAGTTAAACCTGATGTTCTCTTGTTGAAGACCTGTTCTGCCTCATCAGGGCCTAATGTATGTTTACTTGCTTTTTCAATTAGTGTATCCTTGTTTGTCATTGTTTGGTTTGGTTCAGGGACTTCATTTTGTTTGGGCTGGTCACATAAGACCTCTTCAGTGGTAAGGACCTCTCTCACAGAATCTTCCTCCATCTCTATCTGGTCTTTAACTTCCACAGACTGTTGCAGAACTGTGTCTTCATCCTTTGGTTCACTTTTCTCTTGGCCTGTGTTGTCATCTCTGTTTTCCTCAATTAGGTCCTTTTCACTTTCTGCCATAACCTCATCTTCTGCTCTTTCTTTATTCTCTGTTATTTCCATATCCCAGTGTGTTTGTACTTTTTCTGTTGATTTAGCACAAGTCTCTGATTGCTCGGCCACCTCACTCGCAGTTTTTTCCTCTTTCGGTTCATCTGGCATTTGTTTTATTTCCTCCATCTCTGCCTCACACACAGGTTCATCTTCCTCAACCTCTTTGTTCTTTCCTAAATTTTCATTTTTTTCCTCTTCAGTTCCTGTACTCATCTTAACAATTTCTACGTCCACCACAGACTGAAGTTGGCTTTGGTCAATAGACCCTATAGTGGCTCCTTGTATATCTATAGTGTACTCCTTAATAACCATTTCACATTCCTCTTTACTACCTCTTTGGTTCTTTATTTCCTCAGCTGTAGCGAGGTGGGTGACTGGACTCCCCTCTGATGTAGCTGTGACAATGTCGTTTTCAATTTCACTTGTCTCCTCTTTTTGTGATCCTCTAAACTCTGCAAAGTTGGTCACAGTTGCAGTTACAGTGTCTACTGAGCTCTGCCAAATTAGAGAAGAGAGATGTTAATTAATGAACTGAAAGTGTGAAAATTACAAAAGGCCATTTTAAGAAAACAAAGTCATGTTTGCTTCAGTAATAACAGCTTGAACATTACTATTATGTTCAAGCTGTTATTACTGAAGCAAACGTGATGTTTATTCAGTTGAATACATACCCTGAGTACTGTTTCTGATTCTTTTACAGAAAAAGTGTTAAGATTTTCCACGGCTGCCACCTTGACTGAACTTTCAACTCCTGCCTCAATGTCTTCCACCCTTTGTGAGACATAGTTATTTATATACATAGTGTAGTAATCAATACTGTTATGTATTCTGCTGACAAATAATGTGTTACCTGATCATGTTCTCTGAAAGCCTCTCCTCTGAATTTTCTCTGATAGCTCTTCGTTTCAGGTTGCTACCTCTGCCACGCCTTGTGACAGGTATGTCATCTACTTCTGTAACAGTGACAAACATCAGCTAGATTCAGCTGAAGAGACTTTTTTATGAGCAAATTATTGTTCAACCAACAATTTATACTTGCCATTGGTGATGTCTATGATGGTCTCCTCCTAAAATTTGAAAGTTGATATCAATGTTAGATATAAGGTTCACTTTGTAATATTACTGTAATTTTGTTATCCAAACTAGCAGTCAGTTAATATGAGTTTAACCATTCAGCCATTGCCTTGATGCAATCACATGCATTGATCTTCACATTTACTGTATATAATAATCAAAATGCTAAAAATCGAATTAGTTGCCAACTAAATATGTGGGCACAACTGCATGCAGAAATCATTTGAAGTTTAATTATAGATATTTGTTTTCTCGTGTACTTGCACATGTAGTCTTGAGATAATCTAAAAGTAAATTGTAGTGAGATAATGATACTTTCATGTTGTGATATTTGGATTAAAGTTACTGATTAAATTTAATATGCATCTCTGGTCACTCACAAACACTGTTTGTTAGTTTTACATTCTCTGTTGTATTCCAAGTAACCTATTTGCTCATGTTAGCAATGGGTTTCCTTTCAAGACACTTTTGGTACAATAAACAATCTGAAGCTTTTCTTCTTTTCCTCGCCTATGATACATTAGGAGAAATATTTTAAAAATCCTATAAATCAAATTTTATAAATCGTATTGTATTTGAAATGGTCTGAATTTCCCAAATCAATTTTAAATCAAATAGGAAAGTTAACTGAATACATTTTCTGTCAAAACAAAGTTAATTAACACAAAAGTAACAGAAATTAGAGTACCACAATCTCCACTGTATATTCAGTGGTTTCCTGAATCTTTGTGATCTCAATTTCCATCGGAGCAGTGGCATCACCTTCGTCAAAATTCAGTTTGCTCACAACCTGGTCCTTCTCTGTTAAAGACGTATCACATTATTAGGACTATAAATCCCTTTCAATTAATTACATGAAATGGCAATTAATTCATTAAATTCATCATCACAAATAATTACAAATATCAATATTTCCATATCACAGAAGCTAAAAATACAGATATTTTTCTTACCCTTTAGCTTCAACTTCTGTAGCCTGTTGGCTATTAGAGTTCTCTGGAAAGGGCTTCCTATTTTCTCTACTTCCCACAGAAGCTCCTTGTCTGCTGGATATCTACTGAAGTACTTTTCACAAACTGTAAAGAAAGAGGTAGATGCCAAGCATAGAAACCAAGAATAATATCTGTGACATTTGACCGGACTGTAGGTCTGCTTCTATACCTTTATAAATAGCTTCTGAAAGAGGAAATTTTAACCCTATGTACTCATTTCTGAAGCTACCAACAAAATCTTCCAGTATCTTTATGGCATGACCCTGGCCCCGGTGACACTTCCTGACAAATATTGTGTCCATTACAGGAAGTTGATAGCATTGGGTCACGAAGTTTCTGCATAAGCTACCTGTAAGTGCAGAGAAATATGAAGTAACCAACAAGTAAGGTATGAAATTGTACATGAGGCTTTGAAGGAACTGTCATTGCCTTTGGGTTTGAATGAGTAAAAGCCAATGGCCTCTCCATCCTTCCATAGTATTTTTGCAGCTTCACGCTCACAATGACAGAGAAAGAAAACATCTTCACCGCTCTTCTCATTTCTCAACACAATTCTGTTGAGAACATATAGGACTATCCTTTCCCCAAGTGTGCTGACCTGGGAAAAATATGGCACTAGTTATTAACATTTACTTATACATATTTGCAAAAGAAACCAATTTGCTAATGATGACACATTAGGTCACTGATTGAAGCATTACTGGCCTTGCATAAAATTAGAAAACACTGACCTTGATCAGGCCTGTTCTTGAGAGGTCTGCTGTTTTAAGAACATCTTCAACCCCCCACCACCGATCCAGCAAATATAGACCTACAACTGCAGATTATTGTAATAAATCTGTTAAAATATACAGTGTTAACATCACAACATGTTAAAAAAATTGTTCTGGTTTTCATCACGTTTGACTATATTACTTGTGTTCGAGTCATCAGGTGAGAACAACGCAAGGAGCTTTTTTTCAGTATCTGTTCCAAATAGAGGGACAAAACTCACATTGCAGAGTCCAACTTCTATCTGTCACCGAGGGAACATAATTGAAAATGTGAAAATGTTTTAAAGTCACATTGTGCAAATGCATTTGACACCTTGTTAAAAAAATAGGATTCTTTGGGAAAACACACAAAGTCAATATTCCGAAAACATAATTTGTCCTTAATCCTTTATTTTGAATAATAAAAGTATTTACTTATTTAAAGGGAACAAGTTTTAACTTTTCCCAGAAAATTATATATCTATATATATATACATTTTGGAGGGAAGATTTGCAGATAATATACTTGTTCACCTTACCTGTTTGGAATCAGAGAGGCTGAAGTACTCTGTATTTCTGTAGGGGAGCTGAGACATGTATTCCTCAGCTGTTAGCTCTAAGGTCTCATGATCCACATTTGTCAGAATATCTACAGGAAATGCCATCCTATGGAAGAAAACATGTGTTTAAAAAAATACCCCTCATATAATATCTAAAAATGCATGTACATTTACTGTATGGAAGTCCCAAATGATAATGACTGCTTATAACCCATGTTTCATAGCTTTTGGACCAACATTTACAGGTAGATAAAACATGGTCACCAAGGCTGCATTTAATCAAAATGCAGTAAAACTTTATTTTCATTTAATTTTTGATTAAAATCCAAATCAAATTTCATTTCAATTTAATTTTCTATTTGAATATATTTTAAAGTGCTTTTTTTTTCTGTGATGGTAAATCTGAATTTTCAGCAGCCATTACTCCAGTCTTCTGTGTCACATAAATTCAGAAATCATACTAATATGCTGATTTGGTGCGCAAGAAACATTTCTTCTTATTATTAAACAGTTGTGCTGCTTAATGTTTTTTTGTGGAAACCGTGAGACCTCGAAAGAACAAAAGTTTGTAAGAGACAATTTTGCAAATTCTCAACAGAGCAGAACTCGGTCTTGAAACAAATCTACAATAAGCAATGTATTACTTTGTATGGTGAGTGTGACAGATTATGTAGTTGTAGCATTCCTGATGAGCATGGTGAAACATCATTTTGTTTGAATGGCAAAATATGCATTTAAAAATTTTTTAAATAACCAAACAGACCTTTTCAACTTAGAAAAAAACATGATTTTAAAGATAGATTCAATATGGAGTCACAAACCAAAAAAGTTTTGAAATCCTTTGTTCACTGTAGATCTCCTTATCACAAATGGCACATTGGCCTCTAACTAGTACAAAGCAAGGTGCTTAATATCTGTTTAAATGTATCTACCGCTTTAACTGTGGCTTTTTAGAATGTGGTAAATACTGCTTGCGACATAAGGCTTAGAATTGCCCTTGAGTGATAGAACTGACAGCCGCTCTAGAAGATTATTGAAAAACATATCATGGATAGTTTAAGGTATTCTGGTGTGCCACACCTCCAGCTCAACTCAACCACATAAACATTAGTAGTTCTCACATTTCATACCAAGTAGCTCTGCAGAAATATAGAGAGAGTCCTGGAGCTGAAGAACATAGAAGTATGAGGAGCAATGTATGTAACATACACACAAAACAAACAAAGCTGTCTGTGTTGTGGGCCTTTTTTCCTGGTTTGGCACATTTGTTTAAATGCCCTTAAAGATCACATGTGTAATTACATACTTGTTGTATGTATCATCTGTCTCTTCACGGTCTCTACATACCACCTTTGAAAGTGCAAATCCCACTGAGAAATGACAGCAAATGTAAAACATTCAATACAAAGCATACACTCAAGGAGCTACAAGAATGATATGTAATGAATTATGCCTTTAGAGCACAGACTGAATGTTAGCTTGTGTCTGAACCAGTCAATACAAGAATGTGTTTGTTAGTAAGCCTCATAACAAAGTGGGTTTGTTCATGTTTGTGCCTCTACAGTGAATATATTTGATAGGAAAAACAGTTAAGGGCTTCCTTATGAATTAGTCAATGGCCCTTCTGTCAGGCAACATTACCAGTGAGGCAGAAACGCAAGCTTTGTGCGTGTCTGTGTGTTTGGGTTTGCTGAGAACCAGATGAACACCTCACTCACGTACACACCTGCAGGGCAACTGGATATGAATATTGGCTCTTTGCAGAAACATGCTCGTTGTGAACTACAACTGCACAACCAGCGTGCAATCTGGTTAACTGGAAGATATCAAACATAACAGTAGCTACCTAGCTTCTCAACGTACTTATATCATGATGTGCTTGATTAATGACACTGATGGCAAGTCTATGTCAACTTCAAATGAGCCAGTCATGTGGATTCATACGATCAATTAATTCAAAAGTTTCAAATTTACCAGATTCAAAAGTTGCTCTCCAAATTTCAAAAACGTATTACATTACTTTATTCTGTATAGAAGAGCAGCAAACTTTTATGAAATGTATTTTACAGAACAAATTTAATACAACATTGCCCACATTCATGTAAAATAGGAGGTGCTTTGCACATGGCATTTACATGTGACATTGTAGGCCAATATGAAAGCAAGTCATGCAGAAATTCTACATCAGTGCATGTGCTAATGGACTTGTCTTAACATTTATCTGCAGCATGCACTAAAATATGTGACCCTGGACCACAAATCCAGTCTTAAGTCGCTGGGGTATATTTGTAGCAATAGCCAACAATAATTCATGGTATGGGTCCAAATTATAGATTTTTCTTTTGTGCCAAAAATCATTAGGATATTAAGTAAATATCATGATCCATGAAGATATTTTGTAAATTTCCTACTGTAAATATATCAAAACTTAATTTTTGATTAGTAATATGCACTGCTAAGGACTTAATTTGAACAACTTCAAAGGCGATTTTCTCAATATTTCGATTTTTTTTTTCACCCTCAGATTCCAGATTTTCGAATAGTTGTATCTCGGCCAAATATTGTCCTATCCTAACAAACCATACACCAATGGAAATCTTATTTTTAATCTTTCAGATTATGTATAAATCTCAATTTCAAAAAAATTATTTTATGACTGGATTTGTGGTCCAGTGCAGGGTTGCCAGGTTTTCACAACAAGACCCACCCAATTGCTACTTAAAACTAGCACAAAAATAGACCAATCGCATTTCGAGGGGGGTCCCCCAGTAAAAATCACATTCCGGGGGGTAAAATACACGTTAAAATACACATTTTAGGGGCTAAATATCACATTATTGGGGTTGCTTCAACCCACAGACATGAAAACAACCCGCGGCAACAGTGATAAAGTAGCCCAATTCCACGGGAAAACCACAGACTTAGCAACACTGGTCCAGGGTCAAATTAACAAACAAATAAATAAATACTTTAGCAACCAATAAACATTCTTTAAATAAACACATTCAGAAACAATTTTAGCATCACTAAAGTTTGGGATAAAGCTTTGGTATAATGTTTATCTGCAGTGTGCATAAAAACTTTTTAAATGAATTATTAATAAATGAATGAATAAATGAATGAATGACAAAATATTTATATAAATGTATTAATTTATGCAGAATAACTCAACTTTGCAATAACACTTGGGAGAAGTCACCTAAACAATACCACCAACTGTAATATATACACACATACTATTTTTAAAAAGCTTAATGAAGGAAGGACACACAAAGATTTTAAATAAATAAAAAAACGTGAATTCCAGAGGAATTTCGTGCAAAGACAATGCTTTATCTAAAACATAAAGCAAGCAAAAGTATCTGAAGTTTTCAGAGTCACCAGTGAAGGGGCCCCTAACAAAAGCTCTGAACACTGTGTACTTTAAACGCGCTAAAGCAGTGTGGGTGTGTGTGTCCCGCCAAGCTGCAGGAGGAATCCCTGCATTTAAAGTCCCACGAACCAAAACAACCATCCAAAACAAACTAATGCAATACTTCATACACGCGTTCCTCCATCTCAACTAGAGACATTTATCGGGAAACCATTTAAACACATCTATACGGACATATTCGCTCGGAACTCGTGTCTACGTTCCTGAATGCGTGTTTCGAGAGGGGCTTCGAGTAAAAACTGTGCAGTGCGCGCGATGTGCAAAAACGAGCTTTTGTGTTTAAACATCTATGTTTGACGAATGTGGGCCTGTCGAGCGATTTAAAGCTCACACTTGAGCTGGACCGGGCAGGATTCGTCAAGTAAAACGCTAATAAAGCGTGCAGCCCCCAAAAGCTCGCAGTTGCATAACACAGCGCACATGTGTCATTAATAATGAACTTCATTAAACGTTCTGGATGTGCTCTGATCTGCAATTCTGCAGCAAAGACTGTGTTTTGTTAAAACCGTTTTTTTTTGTAAATGATTCTCGACATACAAATGGCCAGACTTGGGCAAAAGTGAAGTATTTAAATAAATATGCATGATTCATTCCTCATAAAGAGTGGACCTGCTGAACTGGAGCAGGAGCAAGAAGCTTAGTAAACAAACACTAATCCAGTGCGCTGATGCGTACTTGGCACGTTGCGCCATTATATTGTTGATTTGAAGAAGAAAAATAACGACAGAGCATTTTTCACAGAAAGAAAACGGGACTTACCTGATGTTTAAAAACTCCGTCGATTATAATAATTTTTTATTCCCGTAAACCCCCGTGGATGATTATTACGTGGCTGTTACACAGTAGTTGTGTGTATGTAAGCGCGAGCTGGAGCCCTCTCCCTCCCTCCCTCCACTTTGAGAAGCGCACGAGCAGCCAACGGGAGATGAGCGCACAATCGCGTTATGCAATCACATTCACACTGCCTAAAACCTACATACTAAATCTGGAACGAGTTTGATATTCAAAACAAACGTAGTATGCCTGTTTGAAATAGAATAAACACAAATGTGTTATTAGTAGAATGAATCAACTATATCTTAAGGAGTATAGGCCAAATTGCATGGGCCTAGTCACAATTGAAGAATCTGACTTCACCTGATAGAAATCTGATCTAGAAGATCAGTAGACAGACAGCAGAGAAAGCATACAAATAGATAGTAGAGAAAGACCCCATCAGCATGTGAGGCAAATGTTATCATTTCATTTGTTTGACAGAACATTGTTTTGCAAAGTTATTAAATCCCATTACCTCAAATTTGTAATGTAAAATGTAAATGAAGGATCTGGGGCTGGTTGCATAAAATGTCTTACAAGTTATTCGTTTAATTTTTTTTCTTGAATACTGGTAATAACGTTTTTAAGTTAGTTACATAAAAATGTAAATAAGTCTAAGTTGAATCAGAAAATTTGATCAACCCTTGGTTATGCTACACTCTTAAAAATAAAGGTGCTTCACGATGCCATAGAAGAACCTTTTTGTCTAAATGGTTCCAGAAAGAACCTTTAATATCTGAAGAACCTTTCTGTTTGACAATAGGCGAAAGAAGGTTCTTCAGATTGCAAAAAGGTAAAAAAGAGATGGTTCTTTAAAGAACCTTTGACTGAATGGTTCTTTGTGGAACCAAAAATGGTTCTTCTATGGCATCGCTGTGAAGAACCTTTTGAAGCACCTTTATTTTTAAGAGTGTAGTTGGTCTTAACATAAAAGCTAAGTTTATGCAGCTGACCCCTGGATTTTTGCAGTACACAGCATCTAGTGTTGATGAAATTAGTGGTCACTTTTGTTGCTATATTTACCCTTTTATTGCGAAAATAGAATCAAAATGTTTCATTGTGTCTTACTTTTGGGGTGTGTTACAGTTGAAATAATGCTTATAAAGGAGCATTCAGTTATAAATCATGCAAGTTTCTGTTGTTATATGTATAAAATTTGCGAAGTTAATGAATTAATTAGTGTTGACAGTTTTAGTTCATTGGTAAGAGTGTGTTTAAGGGTTTTGTTACTGTCTAGAAATAAAATACCCATAGGAAAGAGAAATCACACACACACAAAAATCTATTTTACGCGTAACAAGGGCTCTCAAGAGCAAAGCTAAAAGATTGAAATTCAGAATTGGTTAAACCAGAAACAAGACACTATGAATAGCCAAAAGTGTTATAATTACAGACAAATAAAACCACAATAAAGTAGCATGAAAAAAATCATACAATGTTACAATGTTTCATGACAGCAAAAGACAGGTGATTTTCAACTGAAGGAATATTTCACCCAAAAATGAAATTCACTGAACATTTACTTACCCTCAGGTCATCCAAGATGTAAATGAGTTTATTTCTTCATCGGGACATATTTGGAGAAATTAATGTTACATCACTTTGTCACCAATGCATCCATTGCAGTGAATGGGTGGAACTGTCATTATGACGGCACCTCAACACTGTGTTCAGATTTGACAACAAAGCATGCATCATAATTCAGAGTTTCAACAGTAACATTTGTCAACCACCATGTCCAAGACTAAACTTTGCTGTCCACCTTCATTTCATAGATCTGTACTTTAACTGTCAACGATGAAGTTAAACTCCGTAATGAATTTAAAACAGATGAAAATAAAGCTGAGAGGGTACTTGTATTACAATTGCATACATTTTGTACAGATCCTTAATGTCATTTTTACAACTCGCAACTTTCAAAATTGTTTTATGGATTATTTTTGTTTGTTTGTTTACTGAAAGGTTTTTTTGGAAAAAAGATAATTAGCTAAACAATTGGCATGTTGTTATATCATGATAAATAAAATATCCTTTAAACACACTGCACTTTTATCCCACACAGCCTTGTTTTCATTCCTGTCAAAAATTAAATATGGCATTACTCTGATTAAGGTCTATTGTGTTATTATTATAGGTTTTATTTGTGTCTATTTTATAGAGAAATTATGTGTTATGAAAGATCAGTCTTTGAGCTATAGCCTATACAGTTTTCCTGCCAGTAGTCTATAAAATTGTCTAAATAGTCTCTATACAATTTTGTTTGTTTGGATAAGTTGTATTATAATAATCTTGTTTCTGCCATATGTAAAATTTTTGATCAAATAACTTATTTATAAATTAACAAATAATTATAAACCTGTGAGGCCAAGTTTCTATGAAAAGAGATTGTGGTAGTTTTTCATTTGTGACTTAAAAGATGTTTTATGTAATTTATCAATGTCATTTATAAATGTTTAAAGTTGTTTCTTGATTCCATTTTACCAGTGAACAAAATCCTTTTTCTTGAAATTACATATCTCTTTCTATTTTAGATTTATTGTGAGAAATGATACATTTCATAGTGTTATTGCGCTGTACCTTTTATGGTCACTAGGTGGCGTGCAATATTCGTTTTAGACGGTGTACGAGTTTGAAGTACAGCTGATTTACCCTTATTAAACCTGCAGACTGGAAAATGTCAGGGAAGCGTTATTAATTTTTGAAAGGAAATTTCTGTGTAAAAAAACAACAACAACAACAAAAAGTAGATATACAAATAATTAAAAAGTAATAAAAAATTGCATACATTTATATGCTTTAAACATGATAACACCCTCAGTAGAGATTTCACAACATGCCCCGAGCTGACATTTTTTAAAATATAGCCTACACTTTGTCCTGAGACCATAAGTCGGCCTTTCAGTTATATGCCAGTCTGTGTTCAGTTGTTTAACAGCTTTAGCCATTTAGCTAGTTTTGAAATTGTGAAAACCTTATAGTCACTCACTACAGACAAATTACCCCAAGCCCCAATCAACCCTATATGCTTATAATAAATGACTGGATTGATGGACCACTGCTGAACCTGTTTAAAACATAGACATGGGGAAAAGAAATTCACACTGTTTAATCACACAGTAAGAAAAATACATATATTTTCTTACAGTACTGTATATACACACATTGAACATGAGGCAATGCTTAATTCAAAATACGGGTAAAAAAAATATATATAAAAAACCTGTGAAAATTCATTATGGAAAATTCCTTTACATTATATCAACACAGTACTGCTTTCCCAGAATTCAGGCCTCAGTTATGAATTTTGTGTACATTTATTGTAAATGTATTTAAAAATTACCCAACCTGACACTTATGAGAAATTACTCTTGTGCTGAGATCATAGATGCCTTATATTCAGCAAAACCATGATTGGACTATACTTGGATCAAAGCAAAACATCTGAACATGGGAGTGTAAATGCTTATTTATTCAACCCCACCCTCCTTTAATGTCTTCATTCACCTATTTCCTCTCCATTACCTCTCCTTTCTCTCTTTATACACTTCTCATAACTAACCGAGGAGTGCAGGAAGCCGCGGTGGCCCTCACACTGCAGGTTATCTGCCTGTTCTTCTCCCCCACTGACTATCACCCTCTGTGGAGTCAGTGACCTGTAACCACCTGGGCAGAAGAAGAGTGAGGATACATAAGACTTCATATCAATAATTGAAAGAAACTCTGCCCCCTCGTTTTAATTTATTGATAAGCCCACCTTGCAATATTCCTTAATTACTCCGCCACCTGCACGCCCACCCTATAGAATGCAGAGGAAGCCATTACAGGAGGCCAGAAAATGATCCGCTGCGTCAACAATTGTATCTTTGTGTGGCTAAGACGAAGAGTTAGGTGTTAGGTTACATTAGTGCCCTCATGTTGATCATGATAGGGCACATTTCTTTGAAGCTTATTGGAATTGCTCAAACAATAGACCCACACAAGCTGTAATGCCGCAATAACTGTGAGGGGCTTCTAATGTGTCCATCGCAGGAATTTCAAGAATCTGTACAGTTTTGATCAAGAGCTGTGGACAATCCACTGAGGACATCACATTGTGTATATTTCAAATTGAGAATAGGCATTTCCTGAAGTTTCAAAGAAAAAGGGGCACAAATAAAAAGTTGACAAGCCAGTCTTCATCGTTTCAGTTAGCTGTCAGCATAGCATTTTTAACAAGGTACTTTCAGTGGACTTAGTGTTAGCTGAATTCAGCCATACAATCTCATAAGACAACTGATGGGATTCTCTTTAAAGCAAACAGGTTTGGCAAAAACCGAGAGGCGAGTTGGACTGCATTCTGGTCTAGTTTGATGTCAGACAAAATAATAGGACATGAGAGATATTATGTTGGTTAGACTGGCTACTTTCTGGGCATATCCAAAAGACAGTATCCGCGTTCCATACAAGAATGGCTTGCATAAACAAATCTTTGAACAGCCCTACTGGTAACACTTGAATTTCCAGATTCACAGATGATACACTCCCAAATTTCACCAAATGAAGACGTCATTGACTGCATAGCCTACCTATGTTATAAAATCTAATGCGTATGAATATGTAGGCTACTCAAGCTTACATTAAACATAAAAATGTTTGAACAATACTGGCAACGCTTGAATTTTAAAGGGGTCCTACTATGCTTTTTCGCTTTTTCAACTTTAGTTAATCTGTAATGTTGCTGTTTGAGCATAAAAAAGATCTGCAAAGTTACAAAGTCCAATTCAAAAGGAGCTATGTGACCCTGGACCACAAAACCAGTCTTAAGTCGCTGGGGTATATTTGTAGCAATAGCCAAAATACATTGTATGTGTCAAAATTATCGATTTTTCTTTTATGCCACAAATTATTAGGATATTAAGCAAAGATCATGTTCCATGAAGATATTTTGTAAATTTCCTACTGTAAATATATGAAAATGTCATTTTTGATTAGTAATATGCATTGCTAAGAACTTCATTTTGACAATTTGTAAGGCGATTTTTTTCAATATTTAGATTTTTTGTACCCTCAGATTCCAGATATTCAAATATTTGTA